CAGGGGGAGTGGGAGAGGGAGAAGCAGGCTTCCCGCAGAGCAGGGAGCCCGATGCGGGGCTCGATCCCAGGACCCCGGGATCATGACCTGAGCTAGAGGCAGACGCCTAAGGACTGAGCCACCCAGGCACCCCTGCCTTATTTTTTTTCTTAAATGTCTATTTTTCTTAATATAATTGTGTTTTGCATAGATAGGTTAGATTAGTCGCTAAAAGTAAATATTCAAGTATTTACTTAAATATACATTGAGGCCTTACACACGATAATAGGTGCTAATAAGGTTGGGCCTACAGTCTAGTGTATAAGAGTCATCAAAAGACTTATTAACTAAACCAAAGAAGTAATTCTTTTTTTTTTCTTGATATGTGAATATAATATACAGCAGAACTGTGAAAATACATGTATAGAGCATTCTTTTATTTGCATTTTATATTTTTCATTTTTTATTCATAAAGTATGATCAGTAAATTAAAAAGAGAAAAAGTAATGATAAAATGTTGAAAGTGGACCCAATTAGAGGGGGAAAGATTATAAACCCGAATTATAAAACCCCAAGAAAATACTTAAGTTCTAAATCAGGAGAAGAAATGCGGTATAGTCTGATGGTTCTCTTTAATCAATTTAGAGTGCCCAGCACATTTAATATGCTCAATAAATGTTATTTTTGTGATAATCCATGTTTGAGCTTATAAAGCAGCAGTAAAATTGGAGCAAGCAGCCCTGTCCTGTAATTCTAAGAAACATTTGGAGCTGAGCCAGGGGACATGTGGAGCACCAATAGTCACACAGAAGTTACTGACCAAAAGCATAGAAAAGGAGCCCCATGTCCAAGGGATCCCCAGCCTCATGTGTCTCTAAGTCCAGAAAGATGGCATCATTAGGACCCATCTTTTTCCAGCTGTCCACTGTTTTTGTGGGTTCCATAGGAAGTTTTAAGGAAATTGGTTTAGAAAATGAATTAGTCAAAACGGGAATTCCAGGTGACTAATTTTTTAAGTATTGGTAATTGTGGTACATGTGTAGGAATTCTCAAAACTAATCTGTGCTTTCAAGCATTTTCTTCTTTCCTGAATTATTTAGTATTTTCTCCCCTTTTTTTGGTTACTTCAGAGCTTTTTTTGGGGGGAATTTAGTGAACTTTAGAATGGATTTATCATCCAGTAATTTTATTTTTATTTTTTTAGAGGAGGTATGTGTATGCTTTTAACATTTCTTACTCATTTTAGCCAGTTATGTTTTGATTGCTTCACTGATTTGACAGACTTTGATTAGCCAGCTAGTCTTATTTACTGATGATTAAAAAAATAACATCATGAATTTTTAAAATTTATTTACAACTCCCAAGTAAATTTTATGAACACGAAATTGTCCAAAAATAATATTCTGCCATTAGATTGTATATTAACTTTTACATATTACAGATATATTTTACTTTTTAGTTTTCTTTAAGCAGTATTATTTACTTTTAAGATATTTTTAATTTTAACTTCTAAAAATAATTTCACTCACTGCCATTACATGAAAAATGAGTCACTGGAAATATCCTTTTTTAACACTTTGCTTCATCTGATTCACCTATGACAGGGACAGTCAGTTTGAAAAGGGGTGCTGCCAACTAGTAATCATGCAGGGCTGACTTTTTTTTTTTTTTTCCCTTCTGAGTTTCCTTCTTCTGTAATTTGGTACACCCATCTCCTAAAGTAGGAAATTTTAAGTACTTTCCTATTTCTCTATGCACACATCTCTCTTTGTTTGCCTTTCTTGTAAGTTCAGTGATGATCCCTACCATTTTCAGTGAAAAATTGCTTACCTTATGCTGTGTTAGAGATACATTATCTCTAGTGTGTATTATGTCTTAACTTCTTACTCTGATCATTGCCTAGGTAGGTAACTTCTTTCCTAAGTAGTTGGTTCATGTTACTTGCTTGGTGATAAGTTTGTTGATGCAGCTCAGTGGTCAAGATGTTCCTTAATCCCACTTGAATTTTCCTTAGCATTTACCCTTTTACCTTTTCCTTCCTCAACAGCTTATTACAAGTTACTATAACATAAAGTTAACCTTTTATTTTGTTCTGGGTTTTGGTGGTGGTGGTATGTGTTTATTTTTCTTGCTGTTTTATTTTGAGATGGCAGGAATTGGCAATCGTATTTATTAATTTTCTAAGGCTCTCAACATTTTTTTTATAAGGTGAGGGTACAAAAATAGATTGATAGGGACTTACATACCCTTCTTGGGGATGTTTATATCTTTAAGAGAAAAATAATTACATAGTGGCTTGACAAACTCCAGTAATACACAAATGTATCCTTGAGTTAAAATAAATATTTTTGTATCTCCAAATATATTTTTATATATATATAATTTTTATAAATATGTTTATATATAATATTCCATTTCTAAGAATTTAATTTATTGGCTGGAGTGAGGGATTTTGGAAAGTAGCCTTTTCAATGTTTGGACTGTTTTCTTCATAGGAATATTTTTCAAGATGTCTTACACAGAGACACTCTAGTAAAAGCCTTCCTGGATCAGGTAAATGTTAAACCTGAGATTGTCAAAATGAATGATATGATGTTTTCTTTTTTAGTGTATACTACATTGCCTGTGCTATATATGTAGCATCATAGAGTTAAGTCGTTACTTTTTTAAGTCATTATCTCTTTGTAATGTTTCAGATCTTTCTAAAGTGTCTACATAGTGTTTCTTTTGAATTGTTAGTGGGTGTAGCCTATATATTAACAATGAAAGATGCAATATAATAATAATTAATGTTTTAATTCCAACCACTAACCTATCACTCTCTTGGGGAAAGGAGAATATTTTTTATTTGCCTTAATTGAGCCAAAATGTCTTTAAAACTTAGTATACTTCTACTGAAATAATAACATCTTTATTGTCTCATTATTTTGAAAAATATCTACTTAGTTAACATTTGAAGAAAATTATAGATTATATGGGACTTATTTCTTAATATAACAGCTTTGTCATAGTATCATTCTGGGGACCAGGCCAGGAAACAGTATCATAGAAGTAACTTTGAAATAATGAGGTCCTTAGATTAACTCAAAATTTTAGATCCAGGTCTGTGTAGTCTGTGACGTATTGCATACTTCAAGGATAATTCATAGTCATGCAATTAATTCCATGCTTCTCGAGCTGAATAAAATCATTTTACCACTACACATGTACCCTTACCCCCAACAGTAGAGAGAGAAGAATATCTCAAATCCATAGTCTGTAAGCATGGCTCGACTTCTGGGAGCTTCAATTTTATTTGGAGATGTGGGCAGAAAAAGTTAGATAATACAAATAGAAGTAAATTACATCATGTTTTTTTTTTTTAATATTTTGTTTATTTATTTGAGAGAGCGTGCGCGCAAGCAGGGGGAGGTGCAGAGGGAGAAGCCAACTCCCTGCTGAGCAGGGAGTCTGACATGGGGCTCGATCCCAGGACCCTGGGACCATGACCCAAGCCGAAGGCAGCCACTTAACCAACTGAGCCACCCAGGCGCCCCTACATCATGATTGTTAATAATAAAGTAAATAGGGATGTATTCTGAGATAGAATGCAAAATTTGAGTTCATTTTCAAAGATAAAATAGAAGACTTCAGAAAAACGTGATTACTTTAGACTCTACTTCCTGTCTGTTAGGGGCATCCAGGCAAATGGTTGTGGAGAACTGCTCTAATGTGTGTTATCTGCCAGACATTGTCAATGCTGTGATGGAAACATGCTGTATAAGAAGAATTGGAGCAGATGATTTATTAAAATACTTCATTTTCCTCTAGGTCTTTCATTTGAAACCTGGTTTATCTCTCAGGAGTACTTTCCTTGCACAGTTTCTACTCGTCCTTCACAGAAAAGCCTTGACGCTAATAAAATATATAGAAGATGATACGTAAGTAAAACCACATGGAATAAAAACCTGTGTGCATTGTGTTTTGTTTTGTTCCTTTTAGACGTTTTCTATATTTTTATATATAAAAATTTTTTTTCTTCATTATTTATAGGCAGAAGGGGAAAAAGCCCTTTAAATCTCTACGGAACCTGAAGATAGACCTTGATTTAACAGCAGAGGGCGACCTTAACATAATAATGGCTCTAGCCGAGAAAATTAAACCAGGCCTACACTCGTTTATCTTTGGAAGACCTTTCTATACTAGTGTACAAGAACGAGATGTTCTAATGACTTTTTGAATGTGTAACTTGTGAAGTATATTTTGTCACAATCATGATTGCTGCTAAAGTAGCTCGGTGGTGTAGGAGACATCATTCCCTCGGGTCATGCCCTAGAGTCCTACTTGGCAGTGCAATTAAAGTTAGTTACACTACAGTTGTTATAAGTCTGTAAGGGGATGTCAGGTGCATCGTTACAATGGATGCATCTTTTTCTAGATGTGCTATCTTGGGATACAAACTTAGGTTTACAGTTATAGTAAATGTTACTGCTCTCTTTTAAAGATATAATAATAGAATAAAACTTGACCACAACTACTGTTTTTGTAACTTACAGTTCATGGTTTACATGTATCAAAGTGAAATCTGAGTTAGTTTTCACAGATAAATACTAGTTGACTTTTCATCTCTTGGTGTTCCTTGAACATAGGTTAAGTTTTAGAAAGAATATATTGATCAAGCAGATGCTTAATTCAAATTAATTATTAGATCATACTTGATAGACTTAGTAGTCCTTAGAGTTCAGTCTGTGTAAAAACGTCATGCAATACATGTAGTCCCGATGGTGAACCACAGTCAGGGTGTTTGTTTGTTTGTGTATTTGTGTGTTGAGCTCTGTCAAAGAAAATAGAGGAGATTGGATTTTATGTTTTAGTAGTTATTGCCAACTATTTAAATTAATTTTTATTATTTTTGAGCCGAATTGAAATGTGTACCTCCTGTGCCTTTTTTTTTTCTTGAAAAATATAATGACTTGGAAGAAGTTCAGATTACACTAGTCAGCCATTTTTATCTTGTTTTCCTCTTGTAGATTCTCACCCTGATTTGGCAGTTGTGACTCCCAAGGTTATAAAATGCAATAGAGAATATACTAACTAGTAAGATCTTTTTTCAGGAACAGAGAATAGTATCTTGTCCTTTTCTTCTTATATTTCTGCCCATATTTTTGAAGTTGCTGGCAGGTCTCTTTGCCTGCATCTTGTGAGGAAAGCAGGAGAAACTTTACTGATGTGCTATTTTACTAGGTGCAACTTTGGCAAAACTAAGTGATCAATTTCTTTTGTTTCCTTAATGCGTTTGGACCATTTTGCTAGCTGTAAAATAAGTGATTAATATAATTCTGTGCTAGAGCAGTTTTGACATAATAGTATGTACAAGCAGCTAAAATATTTTTATTTAAAACTGTGGAAGTTACACAAAAGGGAAAAATGTTTATAAGAAAGGGATAAACGTGACAGAGTCCCTCTGCTGTTGCTTACCAAATTGAACCAAAACCAATATGTTCTTTTCGGAAAGGTCCTAATTGCCTTTCACATCACTGATCAGAAAGGTATAGACAACCTGATTTATAGACACAAATGGTACTGGATGACTGGCGCTCTGGCTCAGTCATGAAAGAATTTACAGGTAGTACCTTGTTGTACGCCTTACTCAGTGTTTTCTATGTGAGATTATTAAAGAGTACTGACTGATTATCTTCTTTTGCTGGTTTATTGTACTGTGATATAGAATGCAAGTTGTACAGTGAAATAAGTTATTAAAGCATGTGTAAACATTGTTATATATCTTTTCTCTTGGATGGAGAATTTTGAATAAAATATCTTTGAAATTTTGTCTCAGCAATTATTTGTTCAGAAAAGCAGTGTAATGATAATGAAAGACTGACAGTCTATGTTATATCTAAAGTTTTTTTACTTTTTTTTTTTGTTTTTTTTTGTTTTTGAAAAAAAATGTATTTGAAGTTTTTTATAATGCCTGGAATCTTTTCTTTATAATGCTGGTTGCTTTTATTACTTTTTTAATTTAATGCTTAACTGACAGGATTGCAATTTGATTTTTAAATTTATATATTAATATTTCAAATGTAAGCTAGTGCTTGGGTCATTTTTTTAAATTTCTGTTATAAAATATTATTATAACCTGAGCTGAAGTTATTTCTTCCAGGTATCCAGTATAGGTGTCCAAGATGAAAGTGTAAGGAATCTAAACCTTATAATCTGGAAAACAAATAAGATTGCCATTTTGGGGGCACCTGGGTGGCTCAGTCGTTAAGCGTCTGTCTTCGGCTCAGGTCATGATCCCAGGGTCCTGGGATCGAGCCCCGCATCGGGCACCCTGCTCCGCGGGAAGCCTGCTTCTCCCTCTCCCACTCCCCCTGCTTGTGTTCTCTCTCTCTCGCTGTGTCTCTCTCTGTCAAATAAATAAATAAAATCTTAAAAAAAAAAAAAAGATTGCCATTTTTACTCCAGGTAAAAAAAATGTAATTCATAAATATAATAGTTGAGTTGAAAGGTTTCTTTAAAAGAAGACTGATTCATCACACGCTAAGATTCTTACAGAAGAAACCAACACTTCATATAATGCTGTAAAGTACAAGTGAGATAGTGATGGCTGTGGTCTGTTTCTGTAATGCTGCCGGTTAAACAGGAGAGTAGTGATTGTTACTCTTACGTAACACTGTTTTGGTTTTGAATTGACGTTTCTCCTATGATCGGCAGAGTATAGCCTAAAGTACCCCCAATTAATACATAGCCCCCTGGACTTTCCCAATCCAACATTGCAACACGATGAGGCCAGTATTATTATTTCCACTTTACAAATGAGGAAACTAAAGCTTAAAGAACTATAATGTGCAGCCCATGGTCACTCAGCTAGTGAGGTTGGATTTCATCCCAGAAGTATAGTAGTTGCCATGCAGCACAGCACCTCGTACAGTTCCTCCATGTAGTAGGTACTCAGTGTTGTTGAAATGAAGGCAAGGGAAGGGAAGGAAGCAAGTACTATCGGCCTACTAGTCCTCTGCAGCACCCAGGTGTGATCTCCTGCTGGGTCGCTTGGAGAAGTTACTTAACCTGAGGCTCATGTTTTAAATACCTGAAATGAGGGCATGATGATACCTCACGATTGTTAAGAGAGGATTTAATGAGACTGTCTAAAGTGCTTACACCACTACCTGACCAGAGCTTCATACCTGCTTTTTTATCCAGTCTGAAAATCACCACCTTTTAACCAGGGTATTTTAGAACATTTTACATTTAATGTGATTATTGATACGGTTTAGGTTAAATCTATCATCTTGCTAGTCATTTTCTATTTGTTCTCTAGGGTTTTTTTTTTCTTTTTCTGAGTATTTTTATGATTCCATTTTATCTTTTGTTGACTTATTGTCACTCTGTTTTTCAGTGATTGCTAGTTTAGTAGACTACACACACACACACACACACACACACAGATGTATATAAAGATCTATACCATACTATATATACATCTTTACCTTCTCAGTCTACATTCAAGTGATCTACTACTCGACAAAAAGTTGAAGAACTCTATAATAGTAGACTTCCATTTCTCCCTTCTCATTTTTGGGCTATTGTGGCCTCACGTTTTACTTCTACATATGCTGTAAGCTCCATACTTTGTTGTTATGATTTTTACTTAATTATCTTTTAAGGGGATTTAAGTGTAAATATTCTAAATCAAAAGGTATAAAGTGTCCTATTGGATAAAAAAACAAGACCCAACTATATGCTACCAACAAGACACATCTTAAAAATAAAGGACAAACAGATGAAAAGGATGGAAAAGATACACCATGCCAACACTAATAAAATGAGAGCAGGAGTGACTATGTTAATAACAGAAAAGCAGATTTCAGAGCAAAAAATATTACCAGAGATAAAGACCATTTTGTAATGCTAAAGAGGTCAGTTCAGCAAGAGGACATAACAACCCTAAGTGTTTGTTTACCTAGTAACAGTTTCAAAATACACAAAGCAAGAACTGTAAGGAGAAGTAGACCAATCTACAATTATATTGGAGATCTGAAGATCCCTCTTTCAATGCTTCATGGAACAAAAAGACAAATATTAGAGCTAGATTGTGCATATAATGAAGGACTTAAGAAAAAATCTATATCCAAATCAGCAAGGATATAAAAGACTTGAACAAGACTGTCAACCAATTTGGTGTGACATTTATAGAACACAGCAGTACTCCACAGTAGATTACACACATTCTTTTCAAGAGCACAGGGAACACATACAAAGATAGACCATATTCTGGGCCATTAAACAAGTCTCAATAAAAGGATTCAAGTCATACAAAGTATATTCTCTGATCACAATGGAATTACTATTTGGAAACTAGCACTTGTAAAGGATTAGATGATTTCTAAATCATATGTGTTTGGGGGACAAGGGGAAGTGGACTGGAAAGCAGAAAGGGAGGTATAGTTGTGGAATGATTTTTATGAATAGTGGAACTCAGACAAGCTATGTTGGAGAAGATATATACAATGCATAGATCTGACCTAGATCTTGTATCCAGAATATAAGAAGAACTCCTACTTATTATTAAGATGACAACCCAGAAGACAACCCAATGTTTTTAATGGGCAAAAGATTTTAACATATTTCACACAAATGCATTAATGACCAATCATCACATAAAATCATGCCCAATAGTAATCATCAGGGGATGACTATTAGCACTGCAGTGGATATCACTGCACAGCTAAGAATGGCTAGTTAAAATAAAGGTTCATAAGTATTGGTGAGGCTGTGGAGCAACTGGAATTCTCATACATTGCTGATAAGAGTATAAAGTATTAAAACCACTTTGGAAAATAGTTTGGCAGTCTTGTCAAGTTCAGTACATACTTGCCATATGATCCAGCAATTCCACTCCTAAATATTACCCCAAGAAAAAGGGAAACATGTCCACAAAACTACTTGCACACAACTGTTCATAGAAGCTTTATTCATAAAAGTACCAAAATGGAAAGAGTCCAAATGTCCCATCAATGAAAGAATGGACAAACAAATTATAATATGTAACAGTAAGTACACAGGAAGAAAAAGGAATGAACTAGTGAGATCCCTGGGTGGCTCGTCGGTTAAACGTCTGCCTTCGGCTCAGGTCATGATCCTGGGGTCCTGGGATCAAGTCCGGCATCGGGCTCCCTGCTCTGCGGGGAGCCTGCTTCTCCCTCTGCCATTCCCCCTGCTCGTGCATGCTCTCTCTCAAACACAAATAAAACCTTAAAAAAAAAAATGAAAAAAGGAACAAACTACTGAAATACATAACAAAATCTCAAAAACAGTACGCTGAGCAAAAGAAACATACAGGGTACATTGTAGGGTCAACATTAGCATGAAACTGAGAGTGAATATCTGTTCCATTTTGCATCTTAGGACCTTCGCAGTCCCAGCCTGAAAGTACTTACTATATCATTCCATTCATGTGAAACTAAACAAGCAAAACTAACCTATTGTGACAGCTTATCAGTGGCTGCCTTGGACCAAAAGTGGATGATATTTTACTGCAAAGGGCTCAAGGGAACTCTTGGGAGTGATAAAAATGTTCATTATCTTGACTGGGGTGATGGTTAAGTAGGGGTAAACATTTATCAAAATCCAATAAACTAAAAAAAAAAAAAGGGGGAACTCAACCTGCCTTGGATGTCTCTTCACATTGATAACAACCCATTACTACAATGATTCTTCACATTGATAACAGCATGATCCTTGTACAATCTCATGATCACTTCTGTTTAACAACTCTGCATCACTTAAAAATTAAATCCAAAATCTTTGCAACACAGTTCCTCTTCAACTCTAACCTCACTTCTCACTTGCTAGTGCATTCTTCTTTTGTTGGATCTATTACACTATTCCTTTGCTTCTCTGTCTTCATGACTAGGCTACAGAACAAGATCTTTATCTTTTTCATTTTTGTATCTCAGTGCATAGCATGGTATCAGGCACAGGGCATGCTTCCCAAAAAATGTTAGTTCAATAAATGTAATAAGCATATGAAATATGATTTTCTTTGTCCTCTCCAAAGAGAATCCGTCCCTGTAAATTAAGGAAATTGCTTTCTTTATATGATCAGAAACATTTTTCTCCCAAGTCCTTCATTAAAATTGAGCCTATGCACAACGTAGCTCTAAAATTTCAAAGACCTAAGGCAGTGATTTTCAACCTTCACAAAGTAGTAATAACCTTCATTTGCTGTTTCTGCATTTCTGCCTTACTATCTCATCTCTTGCTGAAATGTTCTTTTTAAATTAATAGCTTGATAGATGGCTGAGTAGCTTTCATCAGACCAATTAGGACAATAGTAAGTATCCATTTGTGGAGTGTGGACATTCAAGAAATCTGATCCATTATTTAGAAAATCATTCCTGAGCTCAGAGTTGGCTCAAATTGGCACCTTCTGGCATTTGCTTGTGGGTGGGGAATGTGGAATGCTTTGAATGCTGAATGGATTTGTCAAGTTTTAAAATCCCTTATGGTTAGAGGAAAACAACATTCATTGTTTAAAAACACCATTGTTTGTTTTTTCTGCTTTTCTGTTCTTTGGAGCCTGAATCTGCAAAAACATTCACACCCAGCATTTTGCTTCATGTACGTCTCCTAATATGTTTCTGGAGACATGAGTGATGTGAAAAACTTTTTATTGTGATTGTTTAGAATGTTCAGGACAAATCAAAAAAGTCTATCTTAATGCTCATACTGTATTTTATGGAGAAAGACCAGATTTCTGTCATTGTAGGCAGAGAGTAGAGTTGATAGGCATGTGGGTCCTGGAGCCAAGACTTCCAATGCTCAAAT